AGTCTTTACTCAGTGTCCTACCTGTCCCTGGCTGACTGTCCCTGCCTGACTGTACAGGTGAGCTGGCTGTGTGCTGGTGTGAGCAGCTCTCAGTGGACCTTCCTCTTCAAACACAGGAGAAGCTGCTGTGCTGTGGCTGTCTCCTGGCTGAGGGGGACACTCTGGTCCATCAGAGACAGTAGGGCTGGACAGTTCCTTCAGCAACTCCCTCATTATGAAACCTAGAGAGGGATCCATCTCTCCTGGTTCCATCTGCATCAGTATTCGTTCCATCTCTGTACTGATGTCCATTTCGGATACACAGACATTTTGTACGTCTTTATTGCTCTACTAGAAAAACTCAGAACAAAGATTATATGTGACTTTTACTCGCTACATTTATGTGACAGCTATACTGACTACTTGTTTTGCACAATTAATAAACATATGATCAGTTGATAAAATATGCAGATTCCAATTGAATCTTACTTCTACAGCTGGCTGTCTATTTAATGCTGTCAACCTTTCTGGTGACTGGTCTGGGGCAGCTTCAGTACACACACTCAGTACAGCGTTTCAAACACCAACCAACACTCTTAGTTTTGAGTCGTGGTTTTCACAACATTTACTTGACATCGATTGACCATATTTTGATTACCGAAAACCAGGAAACTCGGCCTGGCAGTGGAGTACTCAAATGGTACTCAAAGTTTACTCAAAGACGCCTTATAATTTCAATACATATAAAGTATGCCTCCTCCAGGACAGGACATGAAAACAGGACATGTTCTGGGAAAACAGGCCGCTTGGTCACCCTACCTGACAGCTTCAAGACACCAAGTTCTTCTGAATTGTTTGTTTAAAAAAAAACAAAAAAACAACTCATAGTAGGAGTGCTGGAAAGTTCCTCCAGCCAGTTCATGAAGACATCTAGAGCAGGGTTCGCCTCTCCCAGTTGCATCTGCGTCACTACTCGCTCAAACTCTGTACTGAAGTTCATTTCCGCTACAGAGATGTGTCGTACATTTTTATTGCTCTACAAGAAAGACACACTGATTTAAAACTAAGAACAAAGACTATGTGTGACTTTTACTTTACTGTATTTATGTTAAAGCTACACTTACTACTTGCTTTGCAAACAGAGATGGTTTGCATAATTAAATAACATATTATGAGTTTCTAAAATATATTTCATCTTTACAGAACAAATGACTCAACAAAACATAAAGTACCTAAACTTGTTTTCAGTTGCTGACCAGATTATTTAAAGGTAAAACACCAGAGTACCACAAAGTACATCAGATTACAGTCAGGTTTCACCTTTTTGGATTTCATCAATGAAGGTGAAGAGGAATCTTAACTAAATATGTAGCTACCTTCACAGCTACTGCTGCCACCTATTGGGCACATTTACCAGAGCTGGTGTTGGAGCAGGACCC